GGGAGCTGCTTCTGATCTTGGAGGGCAACCAGAGCCAGTCTCATGCCGTGGAAGCAGTAGCCTCCGCCGGAGAGGAAGTAATAGGGCCTGTCCTCCGTTAGTTGATACACATCTCGGCCGCCCCGGGTTATGTTCTTCATGAAGCCTTTGTCATTGCAGCTTTCAAAGCTGCTCTTGTTCACCTCCAGCACATTGTAATACCGCTCGTCAAAATTGAATACTTGCAAACACAAGATGAACAAAGTCAGTCACTTTATTTTCATTTTTATTATATGTTTTAAGAAAAATAAAAAGGCAAAATGCAAGAGAAGAAGACATGACTCCCAAGTATTAATAGCTAAGATAAGCCAAAAAAATCAGGTTACTTGGCAAGTTGGGCAAAAAAGGCTACGAAAGGGAAAATTATACTAAAACCGCCACATTAATAAATATTTATTGTCTCGATTAAGACTCATAACAAGTTCACATTTTATACTAAAACTACCACGTTAATAAATGTTTATTGTATCGATTAAGACTCATAACAAGTTCACATTAATAACTCTTTCAAACGTTTAAACTATCGTTTGTATAAATAAAAAAGTTTGATGTAATCAAAATTCAAACTAAACCAACCTCTCTAATAAATCAGTGTTGCACAGCTAATTTATCAAAACGCAACGCTCTTATTTATGCTTTGTGAAATGTACGTATTTTTAAAATTCCAACCACAGGAAAATGTTGAATTTAAATGTATGAGAAACTACATAATTAGATTATAGACGGTCCAAAAATAAGAAAGAAAAGAGAAAGAGAAGGAGGTGATTATATAAAAATTAGAAACGTACTGAGCCATTCGCCGACGTAAAAGTGCTCATTGGCGGACCACTCGGTGTAATTCACGTTCGTGTTCCATCCTTGTGCGCCTCCCACCTTATGCAGCACGCCGTTTGCAGACGTCATGAGCCACCCCACCGTAATCGCCGTGATCACCACCGCACCCCATCTAAACCCTGCTAAGCTGCAACTGTAATTGCTCCTCATCACCATTTTCATTGCTAATTTCTCTCTAATTAAGTTTAAGTTCTTGTTTGGCTGATGGTATTTGTAGAGGGAGGGAGGGAAGGTTCAGATTCAGCAGCCTCGAGAGAAACGTGTAGTCTTCTTCTCTTTAGCTCAAGCTACGAGGACATGAATCAGATATCTCTACTGGCGCAGAAGGGCGTTTTGGTGTTATCAATGACGTGGCAGGAGGGGATTGGTTGGAAAAATGAGTTTACGGTTGGTTGGTGGGGTCCAGCTCAACTCCCATCCTATGAAGAATATGTTTCAGACTGAGTGAGTGTGAGTGCGTTGGCGTAACTGGTTCAGTGAAGAACAAGGCTTCTAAAAGCAAGCCACGTGCTACTCGCTACTTGTCACTGTAAAATAAATAAATAAAGCACCAAACAGATTCGCAAGAATTTGATTTTACATTCAACAGTAAGTAAATAAAGCAATAAAAATAAAGCCGGCCAAAAATTTAAAGAAAAAAGCAAGAAAATAAAGCATAAGATAGAGAGAGGCTCTCATATGCTCTGATACCAAAACTTCCAAAACAAAATAAAGGAATGAAAAGAATAATCCTTAGCTTTACTATATGGTTCGGATGAGGAGGGATTTGTCACTGACACCCAAGAGCTTTCTTTGCACACCCGAAGAGTTCTAATTGAGTTGAATTTGGTTTAGTTAAACCAAAATTAGGAGATCAAACTTTACTTAACTTCCTACTGTGAATCCACCATAAGAGATTAGTGAGAGAATTTCCATCATCAAAACCCTTCAAGCTCCTAATCTTCTCCAAAGCACCTTCTTTATCATAGATCCCTTGAACACAATGCACAAACCCTTTCCACCCTTCACCGACTCCCTCTCCTTCCCTATGGAGAGCTGGCAACGTCCAATTCACAACTTCCCTAGCAAAGCCAACATCAGAAAACAAAACCTCAGTGATGGGCGAAATGGGTAGCATTTGAATTCCAAGCCTGATCTCTCTCGCCTCTGAAGGAGCAAACCAAAGTCCACTGTCTCTCTTGGTTGACCACACAACTCCCACCATCCTATTTTCCCTTGTGAAATCTTTCTCATAAATTTTGTTGCCTCCCTCTCTTACATGCCACCACATTTGAGCTGCCTGAATTTCCAACGCGGCAAGCATTGATCCGGTGGCCTCAAGTTGAGTGTCTCCGTAGGCCTTCCCCATCATAGCAGCTGAGTAGTAGGCATTTACTGCCTCACTTGTGCTCTCTTGGTTCCTCCCGTCGGCAAATTCGGTTAAGCCTCCTGCCCATGAGTGCAGTTTGTATAGATCAAAGGATCTCAGACGCGGATAAAGCAAATTTGATAGCTTGCCCTTGTTAATAAAATCCTCCACAAGGGAATATGCTTGGGGCTTGTACTTGGCCCCCCATGCAGGCTCAATCTTTGCAAGCACTGAAACACCATAAACAAAGTACCCCAGATGGAAATGGTGATCATTATAAATTCCAAATCCAAAATCTGCTCCAGAATCAGTTGATCCTTGTTTAGTAACAAGTCCACCCCATTTTGCATCATACAAAAAACCATTGCCACTAAAAGTACCCTCCAACCATGGCTCAATTGTCTCAATCAAGAATTTCTTAATTGATGGAATCACATCAAGACAAGCCACCTCCTCAGCAATCAAAGCCAATCTTGCTGCTCTAGCAATCAATTTCCCATAAAAATATGAAGATGTAGTTGTTATTTCTGCTGAGTTTAGAGCCTCAACATCCCGACGAAGGGCAGATATAATTTCAGAGTAAAAATTTTCTTTGATGCCTCCAACTGAATGCCAAGTGATTGGAACGGGCTTTGGTTGTAACACCCATGAATCACCAACAATACCAACCAGATCACCATCAATGCTTTTGTACTTAAAATCCTTCAAAACAGTAGCATGAGATAGGAGCTGCAGATGGAGAGGATGAGCTAGCATAAGCAAATCTCCAGGTCCATTATTTTCCCATTTATATCCCAAAGTATACGGCTTTCCAAGCACGGCTGCACCAGAAGTCGGATAACAAGTACTGAACTGGTCAAGAATTGCTTCAGATTTTGGATCAGAATCCGGCAATACCGCAACTCGAACAATCCCAGAAAACTCACCAAACGTTAAGGTTGATGTGGTGCTGTCAGTCAAGCCAATTGGGGAGGAGGTGTATATTAGCCATGTCTGATTGTTTTCGAGCTTGATGGTGACCTTGGTGTTTGAGTCACTTGATAATGATGATGAGGAGGAGAGAATTGTATAATTGGTTGATATGGAAACCGCAGTGGGGGTATAAACAAAGCATGTGACAAAGGGACTTCCGCGGACGAGAAAGAAGCGGAGGTGGGAGGAGGGAAAGTCTAAAGTAACACTGAGATCATTGAAGTCGGATATTACATGGTGGTGGTTGTTATTCGGATCTTGGAAGGTGCTGGTTTGTGAGGCAGAGATGGTGAGGTCAGGTGTGAAGGGTTGAGATATGAATGCTGAGGTGTAGGAGAGAGATGGGTAAGAGAGAGATAGAGAGGAGGATGCTGATCTGATGGTGTAGGGGTGGAAGTACTCAGGCTGGTCCCCATTCTTGAGAGCAAAGTTTTGGAAGAAAGAGTTGGTGGGGAGTGGGGTTGTGAGGAGGTTCGGGGTGAAAAAGTTCGAAGGCTCGGGCAGGACTGTGGATTGAGTTGCTGGGAAGAGGAAAGGGGCGGGGGTGCCCTGTGGGATCAAGAGAGTAAAACAGACTATGGAGAGGATGAGAGCAAGAGAATTGAGCATCCTTGCCATGATGACGCCTTTGGTAAATTTGTTTTGAATTAGTCTGGAGTTTATTACTGTAAGTTAGAAAAACTCTCGTCTAAAACTCAGTCATTAACTTACAGATCGTTAATTACCTAAAAAAATGTAAATACTAAGACCAAGTTCAATGGTGCTACATGCATCTTTAATCAAATGTCGTTTCCTCTCCCCCTCTCTTTAATCAAATGTCGTTTCCTAAATCAGTGGCCTAATTTTTCTAACAAACATAGGGAAGCAAGTAGAAAAGGCACATGCAGCTCCATGCTTAAAGGGCCACCACATAAACTACAATTGATTTCAACAACTCACTATGACTTCAGTAATCAACGCATGTAAATACTCCAATAAATAAAAGTATTCAAAGTCATCAACTAACTCAATCAAAAAACTTTTTCTCCAATTTCTGATCAACTACACCAAGGTGAAATTAAAAACAACACCAATAAATCACAAACCCCAAAAACCAAAAGAAATTAAATCGAATGTAAACTAGAAGGCAGCTCAATTTCCCTCACAAATTAATTGCTTAGCTTATAGCTAGAAGAAATGTCTAGTTTTGATTTGGATATCCTCACTGTTTTGTGATTGTGACATCTCCATCAATGCTAGCTCAAGTTATCAGCACTCTCAGCACTTAACAGAACCGAACCAATGCATCCCACATTGCACCAATGGCAAAAACGGCAGGTAAAACAAATTGGGATCTGTAAGCAGGTGTTAGAGCACTGCTCTTGCTCTTCAATGGGGCAGCTGAGGGAGGTGGAGGCGGGTTTTCGACTTTAACCGCAAGCTTCATGCCACCATAGCAGAACCCGTTGCCACTTATGAAATAGTAGTGCCTGGTCACATTCAGTGGAACCACATCTCTTCCAGCTCCAGTAGTCCAGTTGTGAAGGGGATGATCAGCATTGCATGACACATAGTCTGTCTGGTTCACCTCTAGAACATTCATTTGGTTCCTATCATAAACAAAAACTGGAAGAAAAGGAAGAAAAAAAACAGAATTACCAACTAGCTATATAGTAGCAAATTAATCTTTGGTGCTTATTTAAAATTCAACAGTCCAATGACATGAAAAGATACCAAGATTCCATCTTTGAAGTTTTCACATACAATAGTATGTACTTCTACCTTTTAAGAACTAACCAAAAGATACACTAAAATATGAAAGTAAATTGTTGTATAAGAAACATAAAATAAGACGGTGACCCCTTCCTCACACCAAAAGCTAAGAGGAAAGCAATAGAAAAAAGTTGCAGATCTGAATCAGCCAGGATGATACATGGAAAATACTAAAACATCAAACTAAAAAGAAAACCTTGTATACTATGGGATTTGAGGGTAATAGAGAAACACACTAACTCGCATTCAATGACATGAATAACCAATTTTTTTTTTTCTTTCCTTTCTTCTTTCCTACATGCATCATTTCAGTAGGCAAAACTGAGTTCTAACATAAGCTTTAAACATCAATAAACAAGATTCAGAACAACTATTTGGTAATCTGATAAATTCAAACTCTCTGTAACAAATTTGAACAAAGTAACTATTTTTCAAGGAATCAATTTTGCATAAGAAGACTAAAAGCAAAACCCATTAAGCAATTTCCAGATCTAAATTACTCAGCTGCAACATCAACCAAAATTGAGCTAAAAATAGAAACTTTGAGCTATGAATGACTAACAGAGAACAGAGAATAATAACAGAAGAAAATGAAGAAGTTAGTATGCAAAATGGATCTGAGAAAAGAGGAGCTTACAGAGCCAATCTCCATTGTAGAAGTGTTGGCCTTGAGCCCAGATAGTATAGTTTACATTGCTGGTCCACCCCTTGCTCCCTCCTCCCACTATAAATCGAGTAGCTGATACTTCCGGAACCATCACCAGCACAAAGCACAAGAGCACCACAAGCACCATAGCTGAGCCAGACCCAACCCCTCTTCTCAGTCCCTCCATTGCTCTCTTTCTCGCAGAGTCTAGCGGTTGCTCTGGAACACTCTGTCTGTCTAATAAGGCTCTCTGCTTTTTGGGCCTTTATGTTTCTTGCGTAGTTTGTTTTTGAGCTTATTATAAAGAAGAGGTTCACTTTTCAGATCTACAACTGCCATCGGCTACCTATCCTGATTATTTGGGTTACTATATAGAAATATTATACTCTTATTTTGAACTTGTATTAATATAAAATTTAGCAGAAAATAAAAAATGTTAAGGCTGTGGCTTTTCATAACACAACCTAAATCTCATTGTTAGTCATTAAAAAAGATTTAAGTGTTCTAGGATTACAGCGTTCAACCAGGTCAATGTGACAAACTTCTCCTCTCTAACTGTGGCATTGTGCTTCGTCTTTTTTGATACATGTGATATTGAAAAAGGGGAGAATCGAACTTAGGATGTCAGATACTTATTTTTACTTTTTAATTATGCTGTAAGTTAAATCCTAAACAAAAGACTGAAACTCTGCTTGAAATACATAAAATTCACTTCTTTTTATCTTTTGTGTTTGAGCCAGAGTTACTTGTGGGTTATAGATTTCTTAATAAACCAAACACTGAGAGAAGCAAAATTTGAAGACCCAAATTGTAACCAGTGCTGCAAGACACGCCTAAAACACCATATGCCACATGAAACAAGTCTTTCTACCAGTGATTAATAAGTAAAAGAAATGTGTAACAAAAAAAAGAGAGTAAAGAAATGGCCTTTTTTCTTGTGGGCTTATGCTAATAAATTTGCTAGGTTTGAAAATGGTTTGGGTGGGAAAGGGGAAAAAGTTAAAAAAAAGGCCACAATCAGTAGTGTCTTTCCATGTTTGACGATGATTGTAGTTTGTGGGATCATTATAATGACATGTTAGCATAAAACACACAAGTTTTCCCAAAAGTTGAACAATTTTAGGCACAATCTAATGGCTGTCTATCGATTATCAAATCTATTCAAGTTTGTGGACCAAGCAAAGATCAACCATCAAGAAGGCAAATCTATTTAGGGTTATGATAGGTGTCGTTGGCACGCTATAAAACATGTGGCCTTTTCAGATAAAGCACGCTACCCAAATCCAATCCAGCTGCTTTGGCTGTACAGGGTTTTGTTTTTTAAATCTTATTTTATAGTTTTTTAATAAATAGGGCAAGCTGGAACTTCAACAGCAAAACGTTGTGGTTGGGTTTCCATACCCGAGTCCTTCTATAGCGAGTTTCTGATCTAAGGAATATTAGATGAAATTCTATTTCTTAAACATTAAATTAAACTAACCAATTTGATCAAACGGTAAAAACTAAGGCCTCATCGCTATAGAATTCTACATCCATATCCAACATTTTGGGCCAAGATACTTTACATTCAAGACTTTCAAGTTGAGGTGGGCTTGAGCTTGCAATACTATATATACACTGCATACGGCCTGTGCTTATTATAAATCAATATTTAATCATACAATACAACAATAACATGTCTTAAGCATCCACATAAAGTAGAAAATTACAGATAGCAGCATCTAAGCAAAACACAAATTTCTGTACGTCAATAAGAATGAATAGATATTGAAGACAAGCTTTCTCAGTCCAGCCTTCTTAACAAGTATTCAACTTGAACTTCCTTTGTCATTGGCATGATCCAATCCCCATATAAATCTGCAACCAAGGTCGGTTGTATCTTATAAACCAGGTCGGTTTTCTCTTTTTCCTCTTTGTACAAGGTCACCTCTTGCCCATAAGTTTTGGCCTTCATTTCTACCCTCTTTATGATTGCCTCCTCGACCGTTGGATATGTCAACAAAGCCATCACCTTCTCCCTGTTCTGAAAAATCAAACACCACCAGCATAAGGAAAACTGACTCAGCTCGCGAAACATTCAAAACTGCTTATGACAGTGGCATGCAGCAAATGCATTCATGAACATGTACCTGTTCGATAATGGCAGCTTCATAGGACTTTGGATTGGATCGAAACTTACACTCTGCTACAAATTTACCATAGTGGATTCTCTTTGACAGAGCCTGCCATCATCATAGGACACCCCCAGTCAGCATTATGCTACTTAAAAAACTACTTTCGATTAATTACTGAATCTATTAGAGAGGAGCAATACGGGACTACTAAGGTCAAGAGCAAAAATCACATGCATAAAAAAGGTTATTGCATATTTTGTCTTCCAAATTGAACTAGAAATGTATTGTGATGGGATATATCAGGTAAAATGAATACCTGCAAGCACATTGTATCACAAACAGCAGTTGATCCAAAATTACCATCATCTCCTTCCTTCACCAGTCTTGGAAGAATATCTCTGAAGTACATTTCCCAAACTTTGTGATTTATATTAATTGAATTGGCAATGGGATGTAGTACCTGTTTGCAAGTCGGACGTATACGTAATTATATCTCCAAAATGAAAGGGGTTAAAACTCATACAAAACAAGAGCAAAAACTGGTGCTACCACACAGGAAAGGTTTTACAAATAGGGCAGATTCAGAGATTGGGGAGATAAAAAGAAAGACTTCAACTTGCAGGGCTAAATCCTTGTAGTGAATTCTCAGTTAAACAATGACCCACAAGTAATTGTTTCTTTTACTGTTATGCATCAGTGTTAGATTTTTACATTTCAAAATTTCGAGTAGAATCATGTTGTTCTGAATAAATTTTGTACTTCAAACAGATACACATGATTGACTACCATTTTAAATTGATCTAATAATGGTAAAGAACAAGTATCTCTAAAATAGTGTCAGGTAAACTGTTTTTGAGTATCTCTAAAATAATGGTATACGCCATGCAAATTTCTGTGACCATGTTGAAAACACCAGCTAAAGAAAGGAAAAAAAAACCCTGCTGAGCACAATTTTTTCAATCACAATTAACCCATCCAAGTACGTTATTTACAAGAACTATTTCAAATGTGTTTCCTAGTTTGGCCCTTAAGTAAAGATATCCACAAGCTTGGACATAACCAACCTTATTGTTCCTAATGAATGCATGTTATATTTTACCTGAGGGTAGTGCAGAGGTGGCAACACTGGTTCAGGTAGGACATCCGGAAAGAAAGGGTGCTCATCAGGACTGCTGTATCTACCAACCTAATTGCAACGCAAAGTCAATAAGAAAGCCAGCAATAATACTTTCTTCAATTATTCTTAGTGTTCATATTAAGGTTTAACATACCTGACCATGAAGTTTTTCTGTTTCTTGAAGAATGTATTCTACCAAGGAGCCGTGGAACCCGGCCATAGGGAAAGCATTGGAGTCATAAGTAGGCATATTATGACAATATTGAGCTCTCTCTAAAAGGCCAAAAATTATGCTATCCTCCTGCCGGATTAATGAATGTCTTATACCTTCTAGGATTAAATTATCAGTTTCATCCACCCTCTTCTTTGTAGCAAATGATCTACATAAATTGGCAGCCTAGTGTTAGAATCGGGCCATAGTAAACTGAAAGCAAGATGCTTTTTAACCCATCCAATAATGATAATCAATAATATGCATTTATATGATGACCAATGGAGTTGAGTGGCTAGAAGCATACTTTTCCATGCAGATGCATCTATAAACATATGCAGCAAGACATGCCAGAAATCAAAACAATTTGGCCTAACATAATTATTTGAAGTACTTTGAACTTCAGGACTTCATGATATTTCTCATGGTTAGATCGAAGACGAATTAATCCAAAAGTACTTTGACTGTATTACAAAATAAATAATAAGCTAAGCTGCCATTCCTAAAAAAGAACCGCTCTGACTTCATAGTATCTGTGAATTATTATTGAATCCTAGACTTGCATACAATCATACATTTGAAGAAATCATGTTATGCATTTCATTTGGGAATATATTAAATTATTAGAAAATTTAATCAGCAGTCAATACAGTTTAAATGAATTGGAGTACTGGGCAATCGGCATAATTGCATACATGTTATGTGCACAACAAAATAAAGCATGGCCATTTCCAAAAACAGATGAACAGTACAAAAGCAGAAGACTTGAAGAGCAGAAAATATAGAGACGTCTCTTGAAAACAGAATAATCCATAGATCCATAAAGGGTCAACAAACTATATTGTGAAGACCAAAATTTTTAGAGAAAAGGGTTGCCGTATTTGTACCCAATGGAAGTTGCAGAAGCCTGAACAGATAAAGTTCCTTTCTTTGGTAAGCCTGAATTGAGGCAGGTAAAGCTGTTAGATTGCATTGCTTTCAATGGCAATATGTGATTGATTCTTGAATTAGAAGCATGGGGAACTGAAAGAGTGGCAGGAGAGGAGGCCATTAACAGCTTAGCCTCCATTGAAAACAGAGAGAAAGAACAACACAAAAGAAAGAGAGATGATGATTCAGAAAACCAGGCCAAAATCAAAAGAGAAAAGAAAGAATGAAGGTGTTGGAAATCTGATGCGGGAAGGGGGTAGGTGTAGAGGTTGAATTGGTGGGTAGGTTGAAGAGGCGCACGCGCCCAAGAAAAATATGACCGATTCTCCTTGCGTGTAGTGCTTTGAGACTTTTGCCTTTAATTGTTCTGTTTGATGTCACAGGATGTGGGGCACCTAAGCTTTGAGTCTGTGATTGCCTGTGGTTGCGTAGATAGAATCGTAGTGCAGAACAAAACAAATAATGTTTCTCACCAACCCAATGGCTCGCACAGTTCTTCCTTTATTTTAAATGTGGAACATATTCTAGTGACAATTTGAGAATAGCAAGAACTAGGTTCACATGGGGCAGTTTAAGAAAAATAACAAAACAACAAGGTTCATGGGCTCTCCACCTTCATCCCTAAACTCTTATTATAAGACCATTCTGAGCTCAACAACTCTTTATACATATAATATTGACTGTTCACTTGGGTGTTCATTCTTTGTTTTCTTTATTGACTCGACATTTGCTTTACCTATGAGTTTAGTAGTGAAACAATCGATTAAGTAGAATATTAGGTAAGGTCACTAGGACTGAGATTATTGTTTGAGTGTTTTCTAGATGGAAATGTGTGGTGGGAATGAACTGACCAATTTTTTGGTCAAGAATGGAAGGCAATTTGGCAAGTAAAATATTGAATGAAGTCCGAAAGTAATTAGTCCTTGTAATATAACACACTAGGACATAACCTAATGGGCCAACAAATTTTCTTTTAATGATCTCTACTTCA